AAAAAATGTAATTTTAAACATCTATAATCCTGTGACAACTTAACAAACTCCATCTGCTGAGGAAGATCTGGGGATGATGATCTGGTTAGCTTCAATGAGCATCATTCGGAACAATTCAACCGTGGAGAAACTCTCTGACTTCCCATTAACAGCGTTTTCTGGGAGGACCAACACTAGCTACCTATTTAAAGCTATGCTCAACAGCTGTTCAGGCACTCTCAGGTATCAGCAGACGTCAGCAAAAACTTTATACGACTGAGTGAGTGCACGCAGATATGTGCAGTTGTGTGCAATGATGAACTGCTCGGCTAGGAATGTGTGTGTGTTTGTGTGTGTGTGTCACCGTTTCACACTGATAAGAGAACATGAAAACATCACAGCATGATGACACTTGTTAGAGTCAACACTGGGTAATGAAGAGTCTGTGTGAATAAGTATGAGTCAGACGAAAGAGGCGAGGCAGTCAGACAACAATTAGAAGAGAGAGCTAAAGAGTGATAAGAACAGAAAATGACAGATAATTGTGCCTTATACTCATTCATTACCTCCATCATATCCTGCGTGTTTGTTTGAGAGTTAGTGGGATATATAAAAAACGGGTGGAAAGTTATTTCTTTTTGGGGTGGGATCTAGTTTGAGGATGTCTCAACGTTGCAAGACTGGCAGACATGATCAGAGATGTTCTGATACCATTTCTTCCTAGCTAATACCGATTCCGATACCTTAACACTGGCCAATACAGAGTACGTACATGTGAGTTAAAAGGTCCAGTGTGTAGGATTTACTGACTCCACGGAAGGCGACCCCATCTGTAGATAAAAGGGGCTCATTCGAAGGTAACAAAAACACAACGCTTCTTATTTTCCAGTGATTATACACAAATAAACAGAGACCTATGAATATTATATTCATTTTCTGAACATGGATCCTCCTAAATGTTACATACTGGACCTTTAAATAAACACACAGATAGATAGATATACAGTACAACTCCATACAACTCTAAAAATTATCAAAAAGGCATTACTGCACTTATACAGATTCAAATCCAGACTCTTATTTAAAATGTTCAAACAAATATTGAGGTTTGTGCAGCCTTAGCAAGATTAACACACTGAATGCTTTGTAGCCGAACTTGAAATTGTAAAACCTGACGTTATACAGTTCCCACACTCTGTTAAACAAAGCATTACAGACTGTAAAGCTTCATTTACTGTCAGAAGATAACAGAGCCACACACTGTGTCTGCAGAGTATCATTGGCAGAGAGCATCACACAAATGTGTGAAATGTAACTATACACTCGGTGCCACAGTGCGCACAAATGTACTGCAACAGGTTCATCAGAGGAGTGAGGTGAGATTTATGGTGGAAACGCTACATCACATCTGTTCTCACCCCAGATGGACTGGGTTAAAGAATGTACGGGACCTAAATCAAGCTAAAGTCTGTGGCAAAAATCATGTAGTAAACGCTATACGGTCAATGACAATGAGATTTAAATGTAATCATGGTGGTGTATTTGTATGCAACACTGTTTTTCTCACAACTGAAGAAATTCCTGAAGTGTCAAACTGAATTGGAAGGTTAGTAATTGTGTATTTTGCCATTTCCTCCAGTAAAGGTCAAGGTCATTTTATTACTATTCAATATTTTCTTTACATTCTGTTTTTCTCCTGTTTTCTATCGGTCTCTGTCATGTCACCTTTAAATATCACCCCCCCAACCCCCCACACCCCACCCCCCAGTGTTGCGCTGTGTCGTTCCCTTCGCCTTCACATCCTCATTCCCCTTCCGGCTTGCCTGCTGATTTAAAACATCGCCTTCTGTGCTATTGTACCCTGAGTACGAACAGAGGATGACAAGTGATTCATCGAAAGATCCTCGCGTGCGCCTGGTGCGAGACTGACGCTAGTTTAGCAGTTGCTGCCGCGCCTGGAGGCTGCGCGAAAACTGCCCACAAACCTGTGCGATCAACGTAGGCTTCTTTAAGCGTACAGCCCTGTCAACCTGTCTGCCTTGGCTGCTCTGGAATCCTGTGCTCAGTTCACTGCTGTCCCACGGTACAGAGCGCAAACGACCAGCATATAGGAGAAGAGCTTTGGTTTGGCAAGGGAGCTTGTCATGCTGTCATCACTGCCGCCTTCGGCATTTAGGGCTGGCCTGCTGCGCTGGGACATGGATGACCTCAGTTGGGCCTCTTCCGACGAGGAAGAAAACAGAACACACAGAAGAGGAAGGAGAGAGAGAGAGAGAGAGAGAGAGAGAGAAGCAGAAAGCCTTTGACGACGCAAATGTGCAAGACAAAACATATGCAATACGGTGAGGTAAGCAAACAAAGATGGAGAGAAAAAAAGAGGAGAGAGAGAGTGAGATGAGGGGAGTGACTCCACAGAATGCAGAGCAGGTAGCTGCCGGAGTGGATTACTGCAGCAGGAATGCAGCACTGGCTACAGGGTGGAGGGAGGGAAGAGAGCAGGAGAGGTAGCAGGAGGTAAAATGATGAAGTTGTATACGAGGGGAGAGATAGAGGCATGGTGAATCATATAGCTATTTCAGATTGTGCCATTACTGTAAGGAAACAAAGAATTCAGACTGTAAATATATGTTAAGGCAAGGGAGAAACTGATTATGTTGCTTATTACATTTTCACATCAAGTACACAAAGCTGCTCACATGCATTTTGAGTTCTGAACATGTAACAGGATACTTGCTGAACGGAAGTGAGTTATTGTTTTGTGTTAAGCCCCAGTGGTTTCCTTTGGAATAAGGAGAATCAGGCAGTTTGGATGAGAAGCAACAGCCAAACACGGATGAGTGACGAAGAAGTGTTCAACCAGGAAGGAAAATCACCATAACGTCACCCATAGTTTAAAAATTGACTTGCACAATTACACCGTAAAGGAAGGTTGTGGCATTTTGGCAAATATTTGCTTTTTTGTCGAGAGTCTGTACCACTCTTGTGCCTGTACGCTAAATATGAGGCTACAGCCTGGAGACAGTTAGCTTATTATGGGAAATCAGCAAGCCTGCCCAAAGGTAAAAAACATTGCAGCTGTACCAGCACTTCCCAGGCTCACTTATTAACACTTAATATCGTGTTTGTGTGAAGACGACCTTTGGACAAAGCCAGGCTAGCTGTTCCCCCCTGCGGCCAGCCTTTATGCTAAGCTAAGCTAACTGTCACCTGGCTCAAGCTCCATAGTCAAGCTATTCGGTTTTAGTATGCGTCACTCTTAACTGCGTAATGTACACCAAAATACACGAGGGACGTGCCTTTAGTCGCAGGACACTGACATGAGAAGCTCCTTTTCCTGTCCGGTTTTCACGGTCTTTGTTGGTTCCGGACTATTTAGGATGAATTCAGTTCAAGCAGGATGTGAACTAGCATCCGGAATAATAAACGCATGTTAATGCGGCTCAGTGAAGAAGCACAGAACACGCCTTGGCCACATATTGACCTTAAACTGTAGACTGCTGAGTAGACATGGTAAGACAGTGACACATGTACTGTCTTTGCTGACTAACCTGGCCTGATAACACACACACACACACAAGCTGCTTGTCCCTGAGAGCAGTGTGAATGTGTAGGCGTATGAGTGCTCTGACCCATATGTTTCAGAATATATAAAGTACAGTATACATGTATGTGTGCCACTCCTGTGTGACTTCAGGCTACAGGGAAGGAAAAGCGGCGCCGGCGTTTGTGCCCAACAGGAAACAGACTCACAAAGAGCAGAGGAGGGGCGGAAGAGGCAAGGAGGGGGAGGAAAAGGTGGGCAAAAGGAGGAGGATGGGGAGGAGAAGAACAAGAAGAGAGGTGGAGGAGTGGAGGGAGCCAGAAGAAGCATTTAAAATTCAAAACGTTATCAATGCTCGATTTTGCCTGACTGGTTGATTTGATACAAGCGAACACACACACCGCTAAAGTTAGAGACTAACAAATCTAGGTATATACTGGGGTATACTTGGGAGAGGGAAATCTTACTTAAGGGGGGTGAGTACTAGGAGTATACTCGGGCGGTTATACTTTGGATATTACTGGGGGTATTGCTGGGGGTAATACTGGGCGCCTGGGGATCGAGGTCTTTTGATTTATGGATTAACAGGCACATGTTGGTTTTTGTGCTCTCCGGTGGATACAACCCAGAATAAAGCTCATTTATACTGGGGTATACTGGGGTATACTGGGGTATACTGGGGTATACTGGGGTATACTGGGGTATACTGGGGTATCTTTAAGTTTCAGAGGTCCATGTTTTTCAACAAGAGATCAATACATTTTAGGAGTAGTTCAACATTTCGGGAAATTGATTTCTTTTCTTTTTTCCCGCAAGTTAAATCAAGAGATGTACATCTAATGAATGTGTGTTGAGCACAAAGCAGGAGCAAGGAGGTAATCAGTTTAGCTTAGCATTATGTTAGCTTTTTCCGCCTATTGCAGGAAGCACAGGGAAACAGCTGACATGGCTATCTCTAAAGTTATATATAAAAAAAAAAAAATAAAGGTGGGGTTATGTTGTGTAATTATTTTTTGGAGAACAACAACCAGGCACAGTGACTTCCCAGAGTCTCACTACCTAGAAAATGCTCTCTACAGAAGTAACTGGGAGAAACAAGCCTTAGAAGTGCTGGTACATGTTTGTTTCCTGAAAGTGGTACAAGTCTTCTTATCTCAGTCTCGCAGACAAAAATAACAAACCAACCTTATTTTCCAAACTGCTTAACTATTCCTTTAAGAGACATAAAATATTATTGGTATGCACACAAACTGCTTATTGTACAAAACATGCATTATGGTAATATGTAAAGTGTAATATATAAACCTTTAACTGGAAAATGCCCAATACTGGATTTATTGGATATTTTGATGTTACATTTTAAATTACTTTTATTAAAATTACATTTGATGAATTTCACAGACATCCAAAATATGTGCAAAAAACAGGAAAAGTCAGAAATAAGTCAACATTACCCACAACACAGGAAGGCACAACTTACATTTTAGATGCATCCTTTTGTCAGTTGCATGTTAAGCTCCTCTTCCCAAAGTCTCCATCCTGTGGGTAAAAACACACAAGCAGGGCACATGGTTAGTAAAAATGGACTCATTGGTCATCATAATACCAAGACGCACACACTCATGCCATCTTTCCCCATTGTTATGTTTGGAAGTTGGCAAGGTCCCGAGCCTGCGGCCGGGCTGACAATGCGCTCACTGTAGGGGAGATTGTTCACAGTCAAGCTAACAGGCTAAGAATGAGCTAACTGCTCAGATATGGGACGCGTTAGAAGGCTCCGCAATAGACTCATGCATGAGCAGACAAGCAGTGTTTGGCCACGACAACAGAAGGCCCTATTCAGTTCTCTGGGGAGGCACTGGTACACACACACACACACACACACAAACACACACGCACCATTATCATAATCATCATCATCTTAGAAGCTCTCATCTGCTTCAAAACATGTGCATGGTTAAACACACACACACACACACACACACACACACACATACATACACACACACACATATATACACACACAGAAAACAACCCAGACTTGGAGCATTCCTCTACAGTAGCATTCCATATGTTTGGTTAAGCACAGAGAATCCAGATTTAAGACTGGAGTCTGGACTGAATTTAAAGGATGAGAGAGGGAAGTAAAGGGAGGAGGGGAGGATTGAGGAAGAGGAGGGGGGGGCTGAAGGAGAAAGGGAACATTCCTGTGAACTGTAAGCAGCAACAGGACACTCTGGTACAGAAACAATACAACATACATTAAAGAATGAACCACTAAGATCATGTTTTACATCATGGGCGAGACTCCAAGAGATGCTCTGAATAATGGAAAGTTTCTACAGTTTCATGACAACAAAGCAAACTCAATCTGCTGATGATGAAGACCGTGTCAGTTGTATAAGTGCCCCAGAACAAGTCACCTGTACATTTGAGACTTTTACTGTAACAAGGTGGAAAAAGGAAATGGGAAAAAAAGATGTATGGCTGGAAGCATACAGGCCTGCAGCTAACAACTACTTTCTCCTTTAATCTCCTCATTATTAATTTGATTATTGGTTAAATTGTTTCATATTAGGTTACCAAATAGACCTGGCAACATGTTAGCCATGCTAGCAACATGTTAATGTCAATGTGTTACCTCAGATGTCAGTTTGACATGTTTTTGGCTTCTTTGGCCTTCCATTAAAAGTGACATCTTAAAATTGTCCAACAACAGTACCAAAAACCCAACAAGCCTTCGATTTACCACCCATACAAAAAACAAAGAAGAAACTGCATGTACTCAATTTGAGAAGCTGGAACCACTACATTTGGGGCATTTTTGCCAAAAAAGGTGATTTTAAACATTAAACCTGTAAAAACTTTCACAGACTAATTTTCTGTTGACTAATCATTTCAGCTTGTAGAGACGGTTTGTAAACCGTTCAGATAGAGGGTTCTCTCTCGACTTAGGCTAAACAAACTGAGAAAGTAGAGGCAAGTGATGTGACGCAAAGACACTTTGATCATGTAAGTAGTAGCTATTGATAGACAGAAAGAATCCGTCTTTTAGTTGCTGCTGCCACTCTCACCTCCTCTGTGTGTCATCCTTTCCGTTCGGTCCCACACAT